GGAGAGGGGGACACGAGGTGAGGTCACACTGGCAAGGACCAGATCTCTGAAGCAAGTCGGTGCAAGAAACAATGGCCCTCATGTGGGGGGTCTTTGTGCTGTCACAGAGTCAGAAACAAGTAGCTCTTAAGTGAGGTCACAAATGCATGCACCAGGACATCTGAGGTGGGGTCCCATGGACTCAGGTGGGGGGCGCTGAGGTCAGCTCATGCAGGCAAGAGTAGTGAATCTGTTGTGGCAGGGATTGGGACACTGTTGTGGGGTCAAAGAGGCAGGACAGGGAGCTTTTAGTTGAGGTCACACAGGCAGGGAAAAGGGGCTGTGACATGGGGCCACACAGCAAGGACATGGGTGTCTGAGGTGGGGAAGCACACTGGGCTTGATGTGGTTCCCAAGACAAGGGAACACAGTCCTGGGGCTGCTCCACACAAGGCAAGCGCCAGCCTTCCATGCAGTCACTTCAGCCAGCCCCTGAGCACCGCCAGGAGTAGCTCCTAGGCACAGAGTCAGGACTCCAGAGCACTGGCAGGCATGGCCCAAGCCATTAACCCTCCAATACAAAGCAACAACAAGCTGTGTGATGCAGCAAACAGTAGGGAGCATGTGAGGTGTGTGTGACGCCTTGGTTCTGGTCCTTGGCACATTTGAATTCCTTTTAAGAACCCAAAAACAACAACAGCAATAATAATAAAATAATAATAATAATGATGGGCTCAGGGGACCATATAGAGTGCTAGACTCGAACCTACCACCAGCAAGCATAACTTCCGGGCCCCCACTGAGTCAGCTTCTGGCCTGCAATATTTTACTTAGCACTTTCACTTTCCTCCCGTTATTTATACACCATGGTTTACAGAGCTGTTCATGAGGCATTGGTTATGGGCATTCAATAATCCAATCCCACTACTTCCCTTCCCCATTGTGCTCCTTTTCCCAAACACCCCCTTTCGAGATTTAATCATAAAGCTGGGCAGTTGAATGATTCTACCTGGTGGTGGTTGTGGGATCACGTTCACTTTTTTTTCCCCTTGAATTTCCACCTACACTGGAGCGACAGCTCTGCGGTAGGGAGTTTGCCTTGCATATGGCTGGCCTGTTCTCCACCCCTCTCGGAGAGCCAGGCAAGCTACTGAGAGTATCTTGCCGGCACGGCAAAGTCTGGCAAGCTACCCATGACATATTCGATATGCCAAAGACAGTAACAACAAGTCTTAGAATAAAGATGTTGCTGGGCCTGCTTGAGCAAATCGATGAACAATGGGAGGATAGTGCTACAGCGCTACTGCTGAATTCACAACCAAGGGATCACTTGAGTGACTTTTTCTCCCTCCTGCCCATCTGATTCTGGAAACGGTCTGTCTGCGGAAGAGACTCAGGCACTGGCCAAGACACACGGTGCTGGTCGCCAATGTGAAGGGACTGGGCTGGCCCTGAGCCCGTGCTGTCCAGACCCCTGCCTCAACCAAGCACAACCTGGACAGGATGCCCCAGACTCCAATGTCCACTGCTAAAGCTGGTGTGCAGCCTAGAAGCTTCCAGCATCTCCAGGCCCCGAGTAGGTCTGAGATACAGCAGAACTGTCACTAAGGGACCCTACAGAACTCACCCCTACTGCTGCACCCCTGCCACTTTTACCACCGATGGTCACTCCTCAGTGGCCACCACTCAGCTCCCAGCCAACAGAAGCACAGATGAGATGCTGCTCCTGGTTGGGAAGGGGAGCAGAGGGGGAGAGGGAGACCGCCCTCGGACAGCTGGCTGCTGAAGTGCCCAGGGGGCAGAAAGCCGAGGGCAGGGCTTGGGGTAGGGATGGGGAGACTGCCCTCATAGACCAGAGTGCTGCAGTGCACAGGGGGTAGGGGGCAGAGGGCAGAGGGCGCGGTGGGGGTGAGAGGAGTCAGCCCTCATACAACTGAGGGTGACAGTGCACAGGTATCTATTACTCAACTCCTGGAGGAGAGACTCATGTCCCTGTGATTCGCAATCCACTCCCCGCCCCTCTTTTAAACCCACTCTCCACTTCTTTTTTTTAATTATATTTATTTATTTTTTAATAGTGAGGCACCATGAGGTACAGTTGTAGACTTACACATTTTTGTGATTGGATTTCGATTATACAATGATCAAACACCCATCCCTCCACCAATGCGCATTTCCCACCACCATGGATCCCAGCATCCCCTCCCCCCCCAGCCCCCATCCCACCCTGCCTCTGTGGCAGGGCATTTCCCTCTCTCTCCTTTTGAGTGCCATGGTCTGCAAAAGAGGCATTGAGTGGCAATCATGCTGGTCGACAGTCTACCCTCAGCATGCTCTCCCATCGTGGGCGGATCCTCCCAACACCCTTTATTTGGTGTTCCCTTCTCTTTCTGAGCTCCCCCTTCCCCTAACATGTGTGGTTGTCCTCCGGGTCATTGAGTAAAATTCCTGGTACTAATCTCTGCCATACTTGGGTGTTAGTTTCCTATTTTGTTACTTTATGTTCCCCAGGGGCTGGTGCGATAGCACAGCGGGTAGGGCGTTCGCCTTACAAGCGGCCAACATGGCCGACCCGAGTTCGATTCTTCCGCCCCTCTCGGAGAGCCCGGCAAGCTACCGAGAGTATTCGATATGCCAAACACAGTAACAACAGTCTCCAATGGAGACGTTACTGGGCCCGCTCGAGCAAATATTCCCCAGATGGATGCAATCTTTCTATGTCTATCCCTTTCTTTCTGAGTCATTTCACTTAACATGATACTTTCCATATAGTACCACTTGTATGTAAACTTCATGACTTCATCTTTTCTAACAGCTACATAGTACTCCATTGTGTAAACAGGCTTCCTGGACGTGGCAGGTCCCCAGGGAAGTGAGGATCAGAATAGTTTCGAGGGGCCCACAGCGATAGGACAGCGGGTAGGATGCTTGCCGTGCACGTGACCAACCTGAGTTCCATCCCCTGCATCATGCACTGTCCCCCAAGTCCACCAGGAGTGATCCCTGAGCACAGAGGCTGAAGTAAGCAAGCCCTGAGCATCGCCAGGGATGACCCAAAAACAAAAGCAAGAAAGAAGTGTGAGACAAAGGTGCTGTCTGAGCCCACAGCCCCTCCTCCTCCTCCTGGCTCCCCTTCTCCATCAGTGCTGAGTGTTCCACCCCACCCCTGTGGTCCATTTGTCACTCCCGACCCACATCTGCCCAGGAACTCCGCCCTGCCGGGCTCCCTCCTGCACAGCCTTCTGTTTCTTTGGAATGTTGCTCCTTGGCCCCATCTCTCAGCTTTGTCACTGTCACCAGAGAAAGCAGAAACCATCCAGGATGCAGCTTGTGGTCGTTGTTGCCAACTGTGCACACCCCTGAGCCCGCCCTATTCTCCCGATACACACACACACAAACACATACTGAAATGTCCTGGTCCCCTGGTGCCTACCCTACATGACAATATCTGGGCTCTGGGCCTTCACCGTGGAGATGCGTATTTCTTTGGTCTGGGATGTGGATACACAGCACAGTTTAAAAGCTCCCGGGGATTTTAACATGCAGTGAAGATGAAGAACCAAACTGTACCCCCATAGACATTGCAAACACCCCATTTCTTTTTTCTTCTCCTTTTATGGAACCTCAAAGAAGTCAATGTTTTGACTCCATTCATAAACAAATCCGTAGTGGATGTAGTGCTAGTCCAGTGGGGAGGGTCCTTGCCTTGCACTAGCCACCGTGAGTTCGACCCCCAGCATCTCATCTGCTGCCCTGAGCCAAGTAGGTTGATCCCTAAACACACAGCCAGGAATAAGCCCTGAGGATGGAGCCAAGAGGAAATCCTGAGCAGCGCCAGCTGTGACCCAAATATCCAAACCTACAAGCATACACACACCCATTATCACCTTGGGGGCGCTGTTCTCCCCTGACAAATACTCTAAACTGGAACACAGGGGAGCGTCTCCTTGGGAAGAAATCACGCCACATGATTCTGGCTGTGGAGTGGAACTGGGGGCAGGGGGAGATACAAATTTGGGTTTTTTGCGGCTCTTCCAGTGCAAAGGGATGCACCTGGGATCCAGGCCAAAGCCCCTCCAGCCCTCGCTTTCCCCTTTTCCGTGCAGATCCCCCAACACAGGTGTTCCATGAGGCAGCAAGGCTGGGGACTCAGACTCCTCCCCCTGGTGCTGCTGGGAGCTCCCAGGCGCCCTGAGTCTGAAGGCCCAACAAAGGGGCTCCTTTCTCTTTGCGCCCCCTCGTAGGCAGCCCTGTAGGCACATCTGCCAGCTACAGAGGGACCCCGACTGGCATCTCCTTTCTCGTGGAGAATGGGGAGTTGGGCCAAATCCGGTGGCTCTCGGGGCTTTCGGAGGCTCTCCTGGCTCTGACAGCCCACTTTCTGACACGGCTGACCCCCACTCCCTGACGGAGCCCGCGACCCCTGACGCACTCTGCGGCCCCGTGTTCCGACACCCCTGATGGGGGACACGTGACAGGCGACACGTTCTGACGCCCCGTTTCCTGACAGACCCTGCGCCCCTGACACACCTGATGTCCCGCGCCCTGACAGACCCCGCGCCCCGTACAGGGTCTCACACCCCTGAGGGCCCGCGCCCTAACAGACCCCGCGCCCGTGACGCACTCTGGCGCCCTTGACGCCCCATTTCCTGACAGACCCCGCGTCCCCTGACACGCTCTGCGCCCCGGGTTTCAACGCACCTGACGTCCCGTTTCCTGACAGACCCCCCGCCCCTGACAGGGTCTCACACACCTGATGTCCGGCTCCCTGACAGGTTCCGACGTCCCTGACAGGTTCTCACACCCCTGACGCCCCACGCCTTGCCAGACCCCGCGCCCCTGACACGTTCCGATGCTCCTGACAGGGTCTCACACACCTGATGACCCTGGCCCTGACAGACCCAGCGTCCTTGACAGGGTCTCACACACCTGATGTCCCCCTCCCTGACAGGCCCCGCGTCCTTGACAGGGTCTCACACACCTGATGCCCCGCGCCCTGACAGACTCCGCGCCCCTCACAGGCTCTCAACCCCCCTGACGATCCACGCCCTGACAGGCCCCGCATACCATCCCCGATGCTCCGCGCGGCGGTTTTAACGCACCTGCTGTCCCGCCTCGCGTCCCTCGTCGGCGCCCGCACCTGCTCGGGCTCCCACAACGCATGCGCAGGTGATGGCACTAACGGCCAGCGGAAGTGACATCACGAGCCGCCCGGAGGCCGAGCCCAGGGCTGTGTGGCCGGGCCCTGGGGGCAAGGGGGACACCAGGGCACCCAGCCGCACAGCCTTCAACTTCGTCTCTCTTCCCTGTTCCCCCCTGCTCCTTCTCCCCGCAGGCTCCTTCTTGCAGTGCTCCGTTAGCAGAGGCCCAGCTGTAGAATCCTCCCGCAGGCCCTCCCTCCCCAGCCCTGCCAGCTCACTGCTTACACCCAGTCCAGAGAACAGCGGGCCTGGAGGAAATCGGGGACGGAAGGGGGTTTGAGGAGCCCACCCAAGTCTATGCATGGAAATATAGGTCTCTGGGAGCATGCAAGCAAACTCAAGCGGCTACCCGGGGCTTGCCTCCAGGTGGGGACTTTGCTTGCCCCGGAGCACAGGAGACTTGCTCTTTCCCACTATTTGGATATTTTAGATTTTGCTCTTTTTCAATATTTTAGATATTTTAGACCTGTATGTATGCCTAGTTAAAAAAAAATCCGTTGTGGGCCAGGGGTCCAACGGGTAGGACACTTGCTTTGCATGCCACTGACCTGGGTTCCATCCCCAATATCCTACATGAACCCCCAGCCCAGCAGGATTCTTTAGTGCAGAGCAGGAGGTAAACCCTGAGTACCACTGCGTGTGCCCTCCCCACCCCGCCTCCCAAAAGACTAGAATTCAAAATCAAAGCCCAGCTGTGCCCAGGGCTTCCTCCTGGCTCTGCACTCTGGGATCATTCCTGGGGTGTTCAGGGGACTGTATCGGGTGCAGGGATTGAACGGGATCAGCCACATACAACACAAAAGCCCTATCTGCTGTAGAAAACTCGCTAGCCCAACCCCAGGATCCTTCAGAACATTTCTTTTCAGTGTAAGAGGTTTTACACCAAGAAATAGGCAAGAACTTCAAATAATCTGCATTGAGGGACCGTAGCAATAGTACAGTGGATAGGGCATTTGCCTTGCATGTAGCTCATCTGGGTTTGATCCCTGGCACCCTGTAAGGTTTGATCCTTGGCACCCCATCATTCAAAACATGAGTGCAGGGTGAATGTTCGACTGCTGAGTTGCAATCCCAACCCCCCCAACCCCCCCCAAAAAATCAGATTCTTTATCTTGTGGCAGTTGTCAGAGTCTGCTCCAGGGCACATCCAATGCTGAGCAGCCAGAAGCAAGCCCAGAAAAATTTCACAGTGGTCCTCTGAGCCTGCAGGCAATTCCTGCTCTTTTAATTCATAAATAATGTATTGAGTGCTTTCCATTGGATTAGCTGCGTGGGGGAGGGGAGCAAAGTTAGGGGAGGACATAAAAGCCCTTTCCCCTGTGGAGACAATAATGCACCAGCAACAGTCACCATAACTGAAATAAGAAATAAATACTGGGGGTAGAGGGCAGGAATCCTCCAGATTCACTGCTCAATACAGATGTACTTATACCCCTGGAATCCGGGTGTTTATGGAGCACGCAAGCACAGCAAGAAACGCTGTGTCTCTTTGTTAGGGCGTGGATAGTGATCTTCCCTTAACGACAAAGAGACTCCAGAGACTGCAAACAGCAAGCAAGGCTTATTGTAAGACTGGCCAGCCAGGGTCGAGCCGCCTACACAGACACGCAGGTCAGTTAGGTGAGGCAAGACCCCGAACTTCTTCAAAGGGGCGCTTATATAGGCCTTCACTGGCCATTACAGCAAAGCCCGCGCATTTCATAGCCAATAGATTTGTAACAACATACACTTTCTTAACCAATCCATTTAAAAGTACATCACTCCTTAGCCTATAGATTCAAAGATCAGCATTTATGTACATAGGCATTGTGGCTAGTGGGCATCTGGTAACTGGGACATTTGGTTATCACCTGGCTTCCTTTGATTCTCAGCCCTGCATTCCCGAGGTGGATAAGGGAAGAGTTCCTAAGGGAGGTAACAGATAAGGAGGGCCCAACAAATGGTTCCCGAATTTACATTCCAACAGGGAAGAGTTTCACTCTAAAGCTCTGCTAGGGAGGGGCAGGAAAGGGAGAGTTACTAATTTATAGAGTTTTAACTCTGGAATCTCCCTCAGGGTCCCTAGGGACCTAACAGAGGAAGCCTCAGTTTCGGTTGCGAGTGGCTGTATTTTAGCTATCTCTGCTCCACATATTTTTTAAAAATAATTTTCTATGGACTTGGGCTTAGTCCATAGAAAATTATTGGGCTATGAAGGGCTGGAGCGATAGCACAGCGGTAGGGCGTTTGCCTTGCACGCAGCCAACATGGCCGACCCGAGTTCCATGCCTCGGCCCCTCTCGGAGAGCCCGGCAAGCTACCGAGAGTATCTCGCCCGCATGGCAGAGCCTGGCAAACTACCCGTGAGGTATTCGATATGCCAAACACAGTAACAACAAAGTCTCCAATGGAGACATTACTGGGCCCGCTCGAGCAAATTGACGAACAACAGGAGGGCCTTTACTTACTTTACTAATTTTCTATGAAAAACACCCTGATTTGCCAAATTGTTCATCATACAGCTGTTCCAGCACCACCAGAATGACATCCCTCCACTGAGATCCCCAGTTTTTTCCCTCCCAAAGCAGAGCTGCTGAGAGAGCCTCCCTTTCAGCTCCAGCCCCAGGGAGCAGGCTCATCCTACATTTTTGACTTCTGGCAAATTCCACACCTTTTTCTAATGAACAGGGAATTAGCCTTAGTCCATGCAAATATTCTGCCCTAGAGCTTGGGCTCAAGGAGGGCTGAGAAAACGGGCAATACCTAGGGCAAATAGCCAGACAGGCACCTGCCAAGAACCCAATTTCCATTTGAAAGGGTCTGCAGGAAGCCCTGCTTACCTTGAAAGTCTGCAGCCCCAGTAAAACAAAGAGTGGTTTCCCCACATTCCTTCCCACTTGCAGACTTCCTTTTGTTTTCTCTGCTACTTTTTTTTCTTTGGTACTTATGCTTTACTTTGAAATTGTTTAATTGAAATTCTGTGGCTTGCCATACTATGAATAATGTGGAGATATGCACATAATTCCAACACCACACAACTCATCACCAGTGCAATCCTTCCCTATCTCTCTTTTTTCTTCCCCCCTAGTTTCTAATAAATGAGCCTATTAGCTAGTAGGCTAACAAACTGAGACTCTACTTTTCCAACAATGAGTCTGAGCGTCCTCAGGACTCCCAATTTCCATTCATGAAAATACTGGAAAGCTGGGAGAGACCCTCCGTCCTGCCTCATCTGCCTCACTGCCCCCCTAGGCACAGTGAGAAATGGGGTTCCCTCTGGCTTGTTCCAACCAAACTTTAAGAACTGGCAAATGGTCAATGCTCAGAAAACGCTAAGAGCCAGTACAATGATCACTCTACCCCGTTTTGCCATCAGAAAATTAACCCCCCTGAATAGGACAAAATAGATTCAAACGCCCCTCCTCGTTTCCATGTAGAATAAAACAGAATTGACCAGCCCTTCTTGTTTTCCTCTATGCCGTTTGACCTCAGGAGCCCGAAGTGCATTGCGCTTTCGGCTCTGCTTGGGACCTGCGTGGGCTAGCGCCCGGGGTGGGATGCAGGGATGCAGGGATGCGGGGATGCGGGGATGCTGCCGGGCGGCCTCCCCAGAGCATCCCGCCCCGCCGCCACCCGCCTCCCGGGCTCCGACGTCACAGGCGCGGGGCAGTACCTGGGCCCGGGGCCAAGCCGACAGCCGCAGAGGCACCGCGCCAGCAGCCGGAGAACGGACGGGGCGCGCTCACCCTCCGGCAGGGGGCGCAGCCGCTCAGTGTTTGCCCCCGCTGCCAGGGGCAACGCGAAAGCCAGCCGCAGGGAATCACTTCCGCGGTCGCCGGGCAGCGGGAACAAGTTCTTCCGGGGCGTGGCTCAGGAGGGGCGTTTGCGCTCAGCCGGTTCGCTGAGGGGTGACCGAAACTGGGCCCTTCGATTTCCGGATACACATAAGGGCTAGGGCGAGTCTTGTACAAAGCCCCGGCTACTCCCTTATCAACCACCCGCGCGCCAGGGGCCGTGGGCACGCTGGATCAAGCGGCCACTGCCACCACCACGAGCACGCTGCGGCTGCCAGTCGCAATGACGTCACAAACGCGACCCCAGGTGACTGTGCTTCCCTTCCAGGGCTGGGCCGCGCAACGTGAACTTGTCACAAAGTCTCACGGGGCGGCCCTTGCTAGCCACGCCCCCCGCCACCACCTCTTTTCCCTCCTGGACCTATCCGAGGCGCGTGGCGTGAAGAGGCGGGGCCTCGCGGAGGGTCGGCCGGGCCCGCCTTCCGGGTCCGGTGACAGAGGCAGGCCGCTAGGGGGCAGGCGGTAGGGAAGGGGTCCGCGCTCCTATTGGCCGGGCGGAGCGCGGGAGAGGCGAACCGTGCTGGGCCCGGGGGCTGCGATAGGCGGGGCGCGTTTGAGTGGCGGCCCGGCGGCCCCGCCTGGAAGCCAGGGCGTGTTTGGCGCGGAAACGTCGGCCCCCCAGGGGTAGGGCTTAGAGCGAGGCTAGGGAGGCTGGACCGGGCCGCGTGGTGGGCTCCGGGCGGTCGCGGGAAGGCGGGCATGGCGCCCCCAGCCCCGGTTCCCCTTGAACATGTCAGCCCGGCTCGGGAGTCGGCGACCGGCCGGGGGCTTACGGCGCTCGCCCCAAAGGTTCCGCCCCGGACCCTGGGGCTCCGCAGACGGGCCGGCGGCCCCTGCACCCCTGGGAGCCCCAGGCGCCAGCTCTGGGTGCGCGGCTACAGCGGCACACTGGCACCCAGTGGGGGGTGTGTGTGTGTGTGTGTGTGTGTGTGTGTGTGTGTACACGTATGCAAAATGGAAAAAGTTCAGGATTGTTGCAGGATGGCAGCTTGCAGGACTGCATGGTGAAGCACCCTGGAGAGAGGGATGTGTGTGTGTGTGCACAACGGAAAGAGTTCAGGATTGGGGTGTGTGTGTATGTGTGCATATATGCACAATGGATAGAATTCGGAATGGTTGCAGGATGGCAGTTTGCAGAGTTGCATGGTGAAGCACTCCGGGGAG